GGATTGCTCTCTTGTTCTTTGAACCCCTGTTACACCTTTTAACCTCTCTTCTCTTTAGTTACATATACGTTATGTGTGTACATATATTTTTTATGTTTCCCTTGTTTGGGGGGAATTTTTAAAGAATGTGAAGAGATTTCTTTCACATTTCCAGATTTCAGATTATTTAAGTATTTTTATAGAGCAGTGACTAAAAGGTTCAGATTCCAGGGGGCAGATATCACAAGGGTTTTTTCAAAAAGTCTCTTTATTTTGTACTCAAGGTAATAATACGCAGCACTCAGATGTTGCCCATTCTGGGTTCTTAGCCCTCTACTGCTGAACTGTTTCCTAGGTCTCTTTCAAATTTGTTCAACAGGTCTGAGCCAACTGAAGTTCACTGCCCCACCCTTTCTCTCCAATACTAGGAAGACTAGACCAAAAGAGCCTGAGCTCTTCCAGCCAACCTGCTACTGCTTCTCCCCCTTGGGTGGCCCACCTCCACCTTCCGCCTAAGATGGCTGAGAAGGATGGCATTCCGTGATGACTTTTCTTTTCTCATTTGGGGCACCTCTCCCTGTCTGTAATGTGTATCAGTTATCTCATGGGAAAAGAAAGGCCTGACCTTGGCATACCAAACTTCTGTAGAAACAGTTTACCAATACCATGTATTCAGAAATAGAGGAGTCATTACATTATATGGCAAGCCATGTGTGTAAACACACACACATGCACACACACGAAGTTTTTAACCTCCTTGCAAACAGTTTCCGTCATTGTGTCTACATAACACCTGGCTCATTGCCTTGCATGTAATTATCGCTTAATACTTGTCATAACCTTCTAAATTTTAACTATCATTATGTATCCAAATTATTATCTCTTGAGAGTTGAGTGGGGGGGCACCTAGGACATTAGACACTAAAGTAGCAGCTGTGATCACCCTAACTGCAAATCACAATTCCCTCTTATAGTGCACCATCTCTCTTCTCTTTACAACCTAGTTTTTGAAAACGTCCTCTCTGTCATCCTTCAGAGGTTCTACACTAGTCCTATCTGTCCTATGTCAGATGGACCCTCACTCCTGAAGTCAGACTGCCCCCCCATTCCACTGAGACCATCCTCACCTAAGCCATGTCCTATGCTGCAGCTGGGAGTCTGATAGGTGCACTCCTTTTCCTGTTCTGTGTCTCTAGCACTCTTTTTTTGAACCCTCTTCCTGAGACTGTCTTTCTGTGGCATCTCTGATCCCACTCCTAGTTGGCGGCCCTCAGTGTCCCTCGTGGGTAGTTGGCTTCTCTTCCCTTTCATAGCTGTGTGCTACTGGTATGCCCAAGACTCTGTCTCTTATTGCTAGTCTTCCTCCGAGTCATCCACTCTGAGTGGCAGCTGCAGCATCTTTGTCTGTAGCCTGATCTCTCTATGCTGAGCCTCAGGTCTTTTTACCCGTCTTCCTGGGAGACGCCTCTACTGACTGCAGTGTCCTATGGCCTCGTCAGCTTAGCAAGTCCAGAAGCAAACACGTCATCTCCTTCNAGTACCCATGAAGAAGAGAATGTATGAAATTGCAGTAGTATTCACATACAGGGGAGCAGTACCCATGCGATGGGGTGCCACTCATCTTGTTATGGATACCTAGCAATGTAGGGAGATCGCACAAGCATCACGTTAAAGTGAAAAGAACAAATACAAGAGAATACAGAAGAGGATTCCACTTAAGTGAAGTTCAAGGACTGGCTAATCTGTGATTGCCTATGGAGGTGGTGGGGATTGCCTGAGACGTGGCATGAGAGAACTGTTAGGAGCTTTGGAAACGGTCTCTGTCATGATTGTGGTAGTAGGTACCCAGTTACATAGTTTTTATCAAATCCCATTAAATTGTACACTTAAGGTATGTGCATTCACTATGTAAATTTCACCTCAAAACTTCAATAACTAGAAAAAAATTTTTAAGTCATGCAATAAAAATTGAATTACTAGAAAAGAACATAAAAATTAAAAAGTATAATTAGAAACGAAAACTAAAAACAGTCACACATGTAAATTGTGTGAGGACAGTTGTGGGATGACACAGGAAGGAAGAGATAACAGTTTAGTAGGAGCTAACGCATCCATTCTAAAGGGTTTAGATAGTTGCAATTCTGAGTGCTCTGTGACATGGCTGCCTTGACACAGCTAGTGAAATGATCGTTACAGGTATGAAAACATAGTGTCCAGAGACGGGATGTGCATAC